CACAGGCTCTGGACGCTCAGGCTCAGCGGCCATGGCTCACGGGCCCACCCGCTCTGCGGCATGTGGGATCTTCCTGGACCGGGGCACGAACCCACGCCCCCTGCATCGGCAGGCGGACTCTCAACCACTGAGCCACCAGGGAAGCCCCAAAAAATCCTTTTTTTAAAAAAAATTTAAAACAGGCTATATAAGTTTATTCCACAAACTAATTAAAGCTAACTTTTTGAGTGCTTGTCGTGTGTCAGGCACTGCTTTACAGACATTATTTCATTTAATTCTCTCTTTTTTACTTTATTTTATTCTATAATTTTATCTAATGCTTACATTTTACGAAAGGAACTGAAGATTAATTTTAAAGTCATCTGAGTACATATCATTATCTGTCCAGGGAGGAAGAATGAGGCAGCAGGGTTGATGGCGGACAAGCCGGGTGTGGAAGGAAGCAGCAAAACGCATTCTAATAAGATACATGATCACACTCTGTGATGTGGTCCACAGTGAACGCAGGAGACAGCGCTGGTCATCACTCCCTAACTCATTACTGAGTCACGCTTGGTGTGGCCTCTGCTGCTGCTTTTGGAGGGTCTGCTTGGAGAGGTGGTCTTCTGGGCTGTGGAGGAATTACTGGCCAAAACAGCATTTACCTGGGCCACGGGTCTGATTAAGCAGGGGCAGGATTCTGCATATAGTTGTATAGTTTTATACATATATGTGTTTCACTGGAGAACAGAACATAAAATTCACATGGTTACAGGAGCAAAATCAGAATGAGCAGAAAAAAGTGAGGGCATCCAATTGCATGCTCCCTTTCCTCCCACTGTCGTAGCCACTGAGCTCTGACTGCGACGGGCCTTGGCCTCCCTGCCCTGTCTCCTATCTGCCTTTCCTCCAGAGCCACGTGGCCTGCTCTTCCTAGAGTTGTGTGTGTCCACACTGGTGCTCTCTTGATGGTGTTATCTTTGGGCATTTTATTACGTTTGAAGCTCCTTTCATAAAACATTTAGCCAAAAGTCTACCGCTGTGCCTGCCACTCAGCTCGTGTCTCTGTGTTGTCACCCGCAGGACTTTTACGTGGTCACTCTGCTGTAATCCTATCTTGCTTGTGATAGGCTTGTGATGGCCAGTAGCTGCATTTGGTTCTTTGATAGAATTTTATTTCAGAGACAAGAAATTAAATTTCTTTTTAAATTGTGGTATAAGGCCTACATTAAACCCAACTAGGTTGGTGTCGCACAGCTTTATCTGTCTCATCGATTGGGAGAACCAGGTTGAACAGTGTGGTCCACTGTGCCTCTGACAGCTTTTGAAAACACCGTTTGTTATGCATTAGAAATTAACCTCTCTTTTAGGTAGATGAAAACGTGAGAACATATTGATGTAACTTTTGAAAGTAAAAAGGCTGTAATAGATAAACAACATGGACCTTTGTATAGCACAGGGAACTATCAATATATTCAATATCTTGTAATAACCTATAACGGAAAAGAATGAAAAAGAATATATATATGTGTATACATACGCTTGTATGTGTATATAACTGAATCACTTTGCCGGCACCTGAAATCTCGTAGATCCACTCTACTTCAATTAAAAAAAAATTAGGGAGCATTAGGGCTTCCCTCATGGCGCAGTGGTTAAGAATCCACCTGTCAATGCAGGGGACACGGGTTTGAGCCCTGGCTTGGGAAGATCCCACATGCTGCGGAGCAGCTAAGCCTGTGAGCCACAACTACTGAGCCTGCGTGTCACAACTACTGAAGCCTGCATGCTAGAGCCCGTGCTTCGCAACAAGAGAAGCCACCGCAATGAGAAGCATGCACACTGCAACGAAGAGTAGCCATCACTTACAGCAAATAGAGAAAGCCTGTGCGCAGCAACAGAGACCCAATGCAGCCAAAAATAAGTTAAAAAAAAAAAAAAGTATGAAGTAAAGATGTCCCAAAAGAAGAAGGCATTAAAAAAATACATTGGGGCTCCCCTGGTGCCACAGTGGTTGAGAGTCTGCCTGCTGATGCAGGGGACACGGGTTTGTGCCCCGGTCTGGGAAGATCCCACATGCCGTGGAGCAGCTGGGCCCGTGAGCCATGGCTGCTGGGCCTGTGCGTCCGGAGCCTGTGCTCCGCAATGGGAGAGGCCACAACAGTGAGAGGCCTGCGTACCGCCAAAAAAAAAAAAAAAAAAAAATCATTGCATGGGACTTCCCTGGTGGCACAGTGGTTAAGAATCTGCCTGCCAATTCAGGGGACACGGGTTCAAGCCCTGATCCAGGAAGATCCCACATGCCGCAGAGCAACTAAGCCTGTGAGACACAACTACTGAGCCTGCGCTCTAGAGCCCGCGAGCCACAACTACTGAGCCCGTGTGCCTAGAGCCCATGCTCCGCAACAAGAGAAGCCGCCGCAGTGAGAAGCCCGTGCACTGCAACAAAGAGTAGCCCCCTCTCACCGCAACTAGAGAAAGCCTGCGCACAGCAAGGAAGACCCAACAGAGCCAATACATACATACATACATACATGCATTCAAGTGAAATAAAAAGGCTGTTAGTTCTTGCATCATGTCCTCCTCACCAGGCTCTAACTGCTCCTTCTGTGCTGAGTCTTGGGCTGGACCTCCTTGGGCCGGACCTCCTTGGATCCCTTCAGTGGCCTTGCCAGTAGCGCTGCTGCCACCCTGCTTCACAGATGGAGCTTCCTGTGTGCGAGGAGCTGGCCTCAGGGCAGTCAGTCAGCTAGTGGGCAGAGCTGGGATCAGAGCCCAGATCTGTAGGGGTCAGTCCCTGTTCTTAGCTGGACGCTCTAGTGTCTCCATGTCATAGTCATGATGTTTAAATTAAATGCTACTTTTGGGCACCTGCCATTCACTTGTTTATAACACTGTAAACCAGTTTCTGTAAACCGGTCCAAATACTCAGTTCACTAAGGACGTCTTGAATTCTTTTTTTTAATTAAATAAATTTATTTATTTGTTTGTTTATTTTTGTCTGCGTTGGGTCTTCATTGCTGTGCACGGGCTTCCTCTAGTTGCGGCGAGTGGGAGCTACTCTTTGTTGTGGTGCGCAGACTTCTCGTTGCGGTGGCTTCTCCTGTTGCAGAGCACCAGCTCTAAGGTGCGCGACCTTCAGTAGTTGTGGCTCGTGGGCTCTAGGGGGCAGGCTCAGTAGTTGTGGCGCACGGGCTTAGTTGCTCCACGCCATCTGGGATCTTCCTGGCCCAGGGGTCGAACCCGTGTCCCCTGCGTTGGCAGGAGGATTCTTAACCACTGCACCACCAGGGAAGCCCCCGTCTTAAATTCTTGAATACGAGTTGTAGAGAAGTTGGTAGAAGTTAGCAGCGGTTAGAACTGCTTTAACCGGGGGTTGGTAATGTGGGTGTAGTAAAACATGGAAGTGAAAGATCACTTTGAGAGTAGAGTTAGGGTGTAAAAATCAGTTACATCTTCTCTAGAGGATGAGAGCAGTTTGGGGGTATTAGTATTGTTACGGTTGCTTAGTAAGTCATTACTAACTACAGCGCAGTCAGAAGCCATTATTACACAGCTGCTGGGTGTGGCTCTGTTCTGCGGGGAGCTGAGAGGAGAGCTGAGCCAGGAGGCTGCCCCTCGTGTGCTGTGCCTCAGTCTGTGTGCCCTTGAACCCGGGCTCCAGTGCTGGTGGAGGAGGCAGAGGGGAGCTCGAGGCAAGTGAACAGGTACTGAACAAATACATGGACTCGTACTCGAAGGTAAGTATATTTGCAGCAAGAGATTTACGTGTCTATTAATAGAATTAATTGTACTTGTTGAGTGTGTGTTCTACCTGGGCTGGCGGGCCAGGTCCCTGAGAGGAACTGAGCAATGTTGAAATTAGTAGGCACAGTAAAGTTTTTATATATAAACAATGTTCCTTATTTCTATGGGTGCTTAATTTTTAAAAGAATATTTGGTGCTTCCCTGGTGGCGCAGTGGTTGAGAATCTGCCTGCTAATGCAGGGGACACGCGTTCGAGCCCTGATCTGGGAGGATTCCACATGCCGTGGAGCAACACGTGGAGCTGTGAGCCACAGCTACTGAGCCTGCGCGTCCAGAGCCTGTGCTCCGCAACAAGAGAGGCCGCGATAGTGAGAGGCCCGCGCACCACGATGAAGAGTGGCCCCCGCTTGCCACACTAGAGAAAGCAAAGAATATGGAATTTAAGTATTTTTGGCTTAGTTTATAGAAATCAGTCATTTATACTTGAATATTTTTTGTCTAGGTTTATCTTCCGTGATCTTTCAACAGCAGATTATGATTCACATTACTCCTACGAGGGTGCGGATTTTTTTTTGAAGTGTGTGTGTGTGTGTGTGTGTGTGTGTGTGTATTTTTAGCCAGAGGAAAGTTTGAGTCATTCCAAAGAAATGTAGGTGACAACATGAAAAACAGTATGCTCAAAACTTTTTAATTTAAAAATAATCTGTGTTTTCCTTTGGGGAAAAATAAAAGTATTAACAGTGCCTTAAGCTTATCTCTTATTCACCCTGCAGTTTTCTGATTCTGAGCTGCTTGTAAAAATTTTGCTGTCTAGGAAAGTATGGGAGTGCTTCTTGACCACGGAACAAGAATCAGTTCTGCTTTACTTAGTAACAATGAAAATTTATTCCAGAAGAATGAGAACATTTTGACACCTTTAGAAATTTAAAAGTACATTTTGGAAAGGATTCTGAGTTACTTTCTGTATTCTTTTCATCATTTTAAGTCAGTTGATCTAGGATTTCCCCTTGTTGCTTTTGTAGATTTATAATCCTAAGGAACTAAGTATGACAACTGTGTTCTGGACTTGCAACCATGAGAAAACTTGTCTCCTTTGCTTAAAAAAAAAAAACCAAACCAACCCTGCTTTACTGGCCTTGTTTAATCAAAGTGTTGACGGTGACTCTAGTCAGTCTGCATTGGGCCACCACAGACAGGGCTCCTCTGTGTGTTCCGGCCTTTAACAGCCTGCATTGCTTTTCCCGCCTTCTGCAGTATGCTTTGAGACCGTGAACATGGACTTTTCTCGGCTTCACACGTACACTCCTCCCCAGTGTGTGCCCGAGAACACTGGCTACACGTATGCACTCAGGTGAGCTGCTCGCATGCGTGTTACGTTGTCTTGCCTGTGCTGTTCTTGAATGCCTTTGGGTTAATGGGGGCTTTATGGTACTTGCACCCAACTGCTCTGTGTTGAAAGTGAAAATATTTATGAACTTTATGTTATGCTCTGGTTTTACAAAACTGCTAAACTGAATTGGAAATTATGAGGTTGTTTTGAAAACCGAAAGTTTCTGATGACTCAGTGATTAGTCATTACAAATGAATGACTGTTTTCGCCTCCACCCAGGTGGCTGTGGTCTCAAGAGCACATCTGTGTGGTTCTGGTGGGCTTTTGTGATTTATATTAATGGCTGAGTATTTTAAAATTAACAGAACTAACCTGGGAAGTGACTTGGCTTTGAGAGGAGCCATCATAAATAGAATTTTGATGAAGCCCACGGTTTCAAGATCACAACTTCTGTCGAACGCACTTGAGTTTTCTGTTTTTATTTGTATCTGATTTGATGCTGAACTTTGAAGTTTGAGTCTTAGAAGCTGTTGACTTGCTCTTTGCCTTTCTAGTTTACCAAGTATTGATAGAAAGGATGATTGAGACGAAACTTAAGTTATAAAATTATGGGCTACTGCCAAAGGGAAAACATTCCTGGATTGGTGAGGATTTGATTGGCAGATAGAAAAACCTTTGCATCCTGGCAAGGTGTTTGAAGCACACAAGGAAAATGCTAGTGTCAGTTTTATCAATGGCTTATCTTCTAAAGGGTAAAAATGTAATTGAAACGTAAAGAAAATTGGAAGGTATTTTAAGAAAACTGCTTCTTAACAGCATTAGTCAAACCTGATATTTAATGATTGGGTTTTTAGTCACAATTTTAGATCATGTCACACTTTCTGTAGTAACACACTTTGTTTTTGTTAAAAGTCCTGTAGTATTTTAGGACAAAATGAGTGGGGCCAACTCAAGTAAATTCCTCCTTATTCTGTATTGTGGGGCATAAAAAGTAATAGGTCCTGGTAATTTATTTTTAGCTTTTATAACCCATTTTTTTGTTTTTATATTTATTTATTATAACCCATTTTAAATACAGTTTTTAAAAGTTGCCTATGTCTGGGTCTCTACAGAGAACCCAACCCTCGTCCAGTGAGGCGTGCGGCTGGATCGGAAGTGGCTGAGAACTGAAATGGGAAAGGCGGGCGGACTGAGCTGTGCTGGGAGGTGGGCCTGTGTTTGAGGGCGGGGGCAGCGAAGGGTTTCAGCTGGGAGGGGTGGGTGGAACCAGGGTTATGCAGAAATGGAGAGTGGGGCGGTGCTGGTCAGAGACCAGCAGGAGTTTGGGTGAGACTCCGTGGGGGCCCTGACCACCCAGACCAGCAGGAGTTTGGGTGAGACTCCGTGGGGGCCCTGACCACCCGCTGCAGCGCTGGGCAGGGCGTGGGGAGGGAGGGGTTCAGGAGGGAACGCTGGGGGCCTTGTGCTTGACTGGAGGAAGGGGATGAAGGAGGAGGCAAGCGTGACAGTCACGGCTTGACATGGGCACAGGAGCAGGACCACCAGTCAGCGGGAGGGGGTGTGAGACCCAGGCCCAGGAGCCATGTGGGCGGCAGTTCTGGTCTGGCCATCAGCAGGCCATGATGGCAGCCCGAGGGTGTCCTGGGTGCCGAGGGCCCACAGAGGCCCAGGAAGCGGTGATGGGCAGGCGCCACACCACGAGGAGCAGAACTCCTGCCGAGGGTCCCAGCCACCCAACACCCAGTCTGGAGGGGGCACGCCCAGCTGTGGACCGGCCTTACGTGGCGTGCTGAGGCGGCTCTGTCCTTACCTGCCTTTCCCTCTCCTGCCAGTGTGTCTCTATGTCCCCACCCTTCAGTGAAGCCTCTGTTTACCGTCCAGCTCCAGCGGCAACTCATGGTCCCCGGAGGCTGGGTTTCCCTGCAGCCTTTCCCCGCAGCCCTTAGCCACTTGGCCTGGCCCGAAATTGTCCTCCTCATATCCTTGTCCTTCCAGACCCTCCCCTTCCACCTGCTAAACTCACAACTCTGACCGTCTGTCTCATTACCACCTGGGTGGCCCCTGGCTGACCACTCCATGTCCAGCACTGCTGGCCTGCAGCCTCAGCACTTTCAGTAAACACGTAAAGGATCCTGCAGCATCCTGGTCATGCCATTTCTTTAAGATGTTTTTCTGTTATGGAAAATGCCAAACAGTGTGAAAGTTTGGAGAATAGTGATGATAAGCCCCTTCACCTCTCACTTAGTTTCAGCAGTTACCAGTACTTGGTCTCCCCTCCCCAGTGGGTTGTTTTGAAGCAAATCTCTAAAAGATAATGATAGTTTTAAAACAACTAGTCAGAATACCAGGTGTTGAGAACCCAAGGTAGAAGGAGGGGAGAGGAGAGAGTCTGGGGCAGGTGACTGTCACACATGTTGCTAGGCAGTCGGGACCTGCTGGGCCCTGGGTGCATCTGTCTGTAGGAACCTGTTACAGATGATGGTTGGGATCCCAGCCTAGGGCAGGAGGGCACAGGTGCTGGTGGAGGGCTCACGGAGTCGTGGGGTGGGCGCCCCTCAGGTGCAGACAGAGGCGCTTGTCAACATTCAGGTCTGAACTCAGCACAGAACTGTTGGTCCCCACCTCCCTCCCTGCCCCCGTCCCTCACTCCCTCACTCCCTCTCCCTCCCCCGCTGTGAACACTGCTGCAGCTTCTGTTTAGCTGAGCACTGTCCAGCTCAAAGTGAAAGTACCCGTGTTCCTACCTCCTCTCAGCTCCAGAGGTAACTGTTGTTACCGGTTTGGAGGTGTTTTCTGAGCTCTTACACATCTGTGTTGGTAATATGTGCTTTTATTTATTATTGAATATTTAATTTATTTATTTGTTTTTGGCATTGCTGCACAGCTTGCTGGATCTTAGTTCCCCGACCATGGGTTGAACCCTGTGCTTTTACGTTATATATATTTTTAAAAACATGAATAGGATGATAATAGAGTATTTCTTTTTTCATTTAACAGTATATCTTGGAGGTCTTTCTGTGACAGTATATATAGATCTGTTATGTTTTCTAACGGCCTCACTGCATTACGTAAGGTACACGTATCCTAGTTTATTTCATCATCCCCTTATTAATGGACATTTCCCAGTCGTTTGCTCTTTTCTTTTTTTTGGCCATGTTGCGCGGCTTGCGGGATCTCAGTTCCCCAATGACGGATTGAACCCGGGGTCATGGCAGTGAAAGTATGGAATCCTAACCACTAGGCCACCGGGGAACTCCCTCATTTGCTCTTATAAACAGCCACTATACTGGCTTCTTCCCAGGGCCCTCTCTAATCAAAGTAACAGGTATTTGGAACACCCTTCCGCCGGCAGGGGCATTGTGTTAGAGGTCCTGTGTTGGAAAGCCAGGACCCTGTCCAGACCGGCAGCGTTGTCATGTCCCCTGAGTTGCAGCATCTGGGGCGTGTGGGGGTGGGAGACAGAGGTCCGGGTCCCGTCGTCAGCTTCTTGCCTTCTGCACGTTTGCGTATTTGTCTAGGTTGCTCCTCGAGACACACACCTGGTCTGGGGCCTGACAGAGGCCGGTGGACTTGAACTGCACTGTCCTCTCTTGATGTTCAAGTTCATAAATGGCCGTCCTCTAAACCCAGGACTTAGGTTAAGAGGAAGATGGTGGAGGGGTACTGGTCCATTCTTACGTGGTAGATTCTGACTTGAAATAACAATTTTCTTAAACGAGAATTGTAATTATGTAAAATACTAAAAATAATCTTGGAAGAAAAGTAAGCATATTTTATACTAAAATTAGGTAGAGTTTAGCATCCTTGCTGCTCAGTGTGGGTTAGTGCAGCCTCTCTCTTGCCCCACTCCAGCCTCTCAAGTTGAGGAGGACCTTTTCCTGAAGTTATGTGTGACGCCTCAAATGGATATGACAACTTGAAGCAATTTGTAATAACTTTCTGAGGGTTTGACTTAACAGTTTCTAGTGTCATATCTGATAAGTTTATGATGAATTTGATTCTGAAAATATTTTTATAATATAAAATAAAACACGGAAATGTTCTTAAGCCCATTTACTTTAACTCAGATACCCCTGGTTACCGTGGATTTCCAGACCCTTAGCCCAGTGGTCTGCTGTCCTGAGCGGGGGCTATTCTCCCACTGCCTACTGGACGTGCCCCCAGCATCTCCACCTCCTCCTGCGGATAAACTACCTGAGGGGTTTGGAGCTCCCTTCTCTGCCACAGCAGGGCCTGCCCAGGGCCTCCAGGGTGCAGGCCGTCCTCTAGTGCGCACGCGCATGAAGGCCCTTTGGTTGGAGCCAGGACCGAGGTTCTTGCAGTCCCACCTTCTGTGCCTTGGGCTGCAGTTCTTTTCTTGGCCTGCTTTGTTCCCTGTGGCAGCCGTGGCCTCTCCCTCCCTCTCTCACCTTCCTCCTTCCTGTCGGGTTGTGAGCTCACCTCCTGGAGGTGTGGAGTCCTCACTGTGTGGTGGCCCCGGCTGCTGGACTGTCTGTAGGATCCCCGCCCCCAAGGAGGCACAGAACAGGTTCTCAACTCACGTTTCTGGATTTGGAAAACTTGCTGACAGCACAGAAGGATCTGTGTTTTGGTTTAAGATAATGTGGAAGGGTAGTGGAGTGGCTTTTCTGTGTACTAGTTTGTCTCTGGGTTTATGATGAATTAAATGCAAAGTGCGCTGGTGGCTCAGTCACTGGCTTTTCCTTTTCTCCTTACATTGATTCATTCAGTGACCTGCTGGGATCTCGGATTAAATGGCCCGTAGTGGTCACTGTCTCGTTAACTGCTTTATCAGGCAGTGTCTACTAGTAAACGGTTATGATTTCCTAACAATGTTGATCTCATTCCTAGGTGGGGAGTCTCGTGAATTTAGCACGTCCTTACGCGCTCCCCAGGGCCGGGTGTAGCCTTGAACACCAGGCAGCTGGGGGATTCATTTCATATGTGCTGTGATCAGAGCAGATGTAGGGGCATCAGTTGTTGAGCAAGTTGGGTGCTAGCTTGCTTTTGCTCTGTCGGAAAGGCTTCACATAGTGATGGCTGTTTTTCTCGTTTAAAAAATATATTATTTATTTATTTATTTATTTTGGCTGCGCCAGGTCTTAGTTGTGGCATGCAGGATCTTTGTTGCAGCATGCAGACTCTTAGTTGTGGCATGTGCTGTTTTTAAAACTTCACACTAGGTTGCACGTTCTGTTATTTGTTTGTTTTAAGGTGGGGTGGTAAGCGGTGCTCATCTATGATGAGGGTTTTTCCTTCTAGTTCAAGTTATTCTTCTGATGCTCTGGATTTCGAGACTGAGCACAAACTGGATCCTGTATTTGATTCTCCAAGAATGTCCCGCCGCAGTTTGCGCCTGGTCACCACAGCCCGTGGCGCTGAGGATGGCCCCGCTGGGGACAGAGCGGCCAGGTGAGCGAAAACAGTTAAAACCAAACACATGAGGTTTCGGTCTGTAAAACTTCACTCTCTCGAATTTACAGATATGTGTGTACACACACAACTGCACACACGGTCGTAGCTTTACTGTGAATGAGGCTGAAACCAGGGCTGGGGTGTGCGGGTTGTTTGGCGCTGGTGTAAAGAGGGACGCAGGCACCCATCCCGTCCGGGGCAAGTGTCCCAGCTCATCTGCGTAGCGGGCCCCACCAGCAGTTAAGGGAGGAGCCCTGCCCATCATCATGTGGCCCTGCAGGTGTCTGTGTTGTTAGTGCTTTAAGCCTGTATATAAAATCTGTGTGAACTGACAGATACAGGCGTGAAGTTTAGATGTTTACCTGTATTTATGATTGTCCTATTCACTTGATTTCTGAACTCCTCACGTGCCCATGACTTATTTGTGCCCAAGAAGGGGCAGAAGTGTGCAGGATCTTTGTGCCATTTAGAGATAAAGAATAAAGGTAACAGCTTTCCTTTAACATCACTCATGTAAGAGGGACGAGTTTCCTGCCTGAGTGGTCCACTCTTGGGAGTGGGACGGTGGCTGTTGAGAGGTGACAGGACACTGGCCTGACAGCAAGGCTGGGCGCTGGTGTCTGTGGCGTCACCTCCCCATCTGTGGTTCACACTCACACACTGCACGCCCAGCAGCCACCTGAGGTTCATTTGCAGTGAGGTTCTTGGATATCCTGGTTTGGGGTGTTCGTGCAGGTACTGCTATGGGAACCACGGCTGTAACAGGCTGGTTCTCTGTCCCTGAGCAACACTGGAACCAGGTTTCCCGGTGCACCTGCTCATGGGGGCCTTCCTGTCTCTGCTCCCTGCCTTTTGCTCACTTCTCGCTCCCTCAGTGGGGAGGGTCTTCAAGGGCTTTGTCTCCATCCTTGTGGTAGATCCGGTGCAGGAAGGATTTTGGCGACAGCCTCTCCTCGCTGTACTTGATGCAGTTCTGCCTTTATTAGTGACTGAGAAACAGTGCGGAATGTGCCTGTGGATGCAGTTACTTGTTTTAAATGGTGGGGGGGACACTAAATCTATAAATCATATAATTTCAAAATATAGGTCATTTTTATTCTTAGGTTATTTTTAGTTTGAACCACTTTTGGGTCATGAGGCCCCAAATAATCTGAGAACTACTTTGTGTGTACAATTTTAGGAGGAGTTCTTGTGCCCAGCTTAACAATTCCTTTTTTAGATTAACAGATGTCTCATTACAGCAGAAAGGGCATAAGAACACGTTGCCTTAACAGTAGTATATTCATTCTCAGGCAAAGATTTTGTGTTGGTAGAATGTAATCACTTGTATATACTAGAAAACGTCTGTAGACTTGTTCCTTTCTCCTTCCTTTTTAGACTAGCAAAGCAGCGCAGCAGTGCACACAAGCCGGCATTTAGTATCAACCACACCTCGAGGAAGGTCCTATCCTTGGCTGTCAGCCAGAGCGGCTCCAGGGCCATGCGGGCTTCGGCTTGTCTGCGGCCTCCTGTGCTGGACGAGTCTCTGATCCGCGAGCAGACCAAAGTGGACCACTTCTGGGGTGAGTCATCTCCAGTGACTTCTCCGGTTCTTCTGGGAAGAAGGGGTGTCATGGCCAGGTTGTCCCTTTTCCCCTTACTGGGGGGAAGGAGCCCCAGGAAGTTTGGAGGCCTCCCTCTGGACTGAGATCGGAAGCACAGGGAAACTGCTTCCAGCTGCCGATCATGTGTCGTGATGTGGAAGATGGAGTGGAGTGGTCAGGGCAGTCTGATTAACTCTGTGTGTCTAAATGCATGACTTTTGTGGGATGTTTAAGCAAAGTCTTTGGCAAACTCACCAGCATGATTTCAAGTTCCAGACAGCAATTTTTGTCTTACTGGAAAGCATCTAGTGTAGATGAATTGACCCTAGGAAACGATGTGGCTTGTGACCTGGATTGACTAAGGCAGCAGCGTGACCCCAGTCCTCCCTGTGGAGGACTCGATGGCCACAGGGGCCATGGCTTTGAGGGGCCGCAAAGCTGCTTGTGTCCACTTGATGTTCCAGTTGGCCCTTCTGAGAAGAATCAAAGATTAGATTAGTTCCAGAAACCTTATGTGCTGAGTTGGGAAGCCCTGGAGTTCGTATTCTGTTTTGTTCACTAGCAAAGTAGCTCCTGGGCAGCAGAGGAGGCGAGTGTGCTGGTGCTGAGGTTCCTGCCTGTTCTTCTGTGCACAGCGTGGTGTGTGTGTGTAGACAGTGTGAGAGTGCGTGAGAACAGAGCGTGTGGGAAGGTATTTTCTCCAGAGATGTGCTTTCACCTGGAATTGAAAGCAAGCATCTGCATATACCTGGAGAAATTTCTGTTAGTTCTAGGCATTGTAGGAAGTCAATCTTGACCAGTGCCATGATGCTGATTTATTAACCATTGTAACCTTTACTTTTGAGTTTGTGTATTTTGTTCTGTTTTGATCATTTGAGCTCAACAGCAAAAATATGTGTGTTTTTTAGGTCTTGACGATGACGGAGAGCTTAAAGGTAATTTCGTCCTTTTCTTCCCCACATTTTTCAAGATGGAGGTTTTAGTTAGGTGTTTGCAGATTGTAATAAGCAGGTTCCATCTCCTTTTTGCAAACTTCAGGTGGGAATAAAGCTGCCATTCAGGGAAACGGCGATGTGGCCGCAGGGGCCGTAGAAGGAGCGGGGAGCAACGGCTACACCTGCAGCGACTGCAGCCTCCTTTCCGAGCGCAAAGGCGCGCTCACCGCGTACTCCACTGCCCGTGGCCCGGCCTCAAGGATTTACTCGAGGGATAGGAGTCAAAAACGTAAGTCTTGCTCTTTTAAAAGTTAGGAAAGGAGTTCACGTCCAAATATTAGATATTTCCTTTTCTTTTCATCAATCTTGTCTTATAGGCCTCAGTGTCTGCACTGTTTCTACTGTAGACTCGAGCTCAAAGTTATCCTTTAAAAGTTTAAGAGACGCACCAAAAATTAGCTCTGTTCCTCCTCTCTCAACTTACATGTGATGTGGTTGGTCTTTTTGTACCTGGGAGTGTTTGGAATTCCATAAATTTGAACTTGGAGTAAGCAGGAGAAACCTCGTCCTGAACTGGACCCGTGGGCTGTGCGGTCACCTGCAGACGCTCCTTCTTTTCCTGGGAGCGCAGACTCCAGGCGCCCAGAGAGTCAGGGTGGGAGGCGGTGATGCTTGAGGCAGGGACGTGTTGTCTCTGGTCTCTGTTGTGGGTGAGAGTCCGTGACCGCAGGGGCAGCTTACCAGGAGTGTGCAGCTTCTGGGGGGCACATGGCACACCAGCCTTGTTTGGGAGGGCGGCAGGCATGGTGGAAGGTCTCGCGCGGCAACCTTGGCCCTGCTGACCGGCAGAGGAGGCCCTTGGGACCCCGGTGTGCCTGCTTGACCACAGAGGGCCTGGGCCTGCCCATGTTCCCAGCTCTGATCAACACCTGGGCCAGACTGAGTCGGCCTCGCTGCTGGGCCCCTGGGGAGAGCACAGCTACAGAGGCCCTTCCAGGGGCCACCGTGTGACCGATGTGCCCCTCCTGGCTCGGGGCTCCGCGGCTGCTGTGATCACTGTTCGCCTTAAGGGAACACATAGGGAGGCTGGGAGCCCTCGACTTGAAACATGTGTCGCCTTGTTTCCAAGCCCTTGGTACCTCGTCTGTTTAATCTGAGCACTGGAGTGCTTGGCAGAGCCAGAGGACATGCTCAGGCAGGTGGACAAGGGTCTGGACAGGACAGTGCAGGAGGGCGGGGCGCTGTCTGTCCACTCCCCGTGTTCCTGGCTGTGCCCTGCGCACTAGGGTGCCCAGTTCATACTTCTCAAATGATGATTTTGACATGATGAAGGATGGTACCTGGACTGACAGTTATTTCTATTTCGGCATCTCATCCTTGTTTCTAGACCTTTTGGTTTTGGCTGCTGTAGTGTTACCGACCTCCTTAGTGTTAATAGAGCAGTGTGGGAATACAGTGAGGGGAAGCGGGTGGCAGAATCAATATGAGGGTTTCCTCTGTAACAGTTTCTGGATCGTGTGGGTGCTGTAGAGACCAGCATCACTGAGCGCTCACTCTGCCCCCTGCGCTCTGTACCCATGACCTCACTGACCCTCATAGCAGCCCCGCTGGACAGTTGTCACCCTCATTGTACAGACCGGTAAACTGAGGTTCAGCCAGCTTCAGACACTTGCTGGTAAATGATGGAGCTTGGACCTGGCCCCAGGCATCTCGCCTGCAGGGCGCCCCCCCCAAGACGCTGTGTCCTCTGAGTGCTCTCCCAGGGCCGGGATTCCGCACCTGGCATGCCGTGTATCGGGTTTTGAGGCTGCATTTTGAAGTGTGCCGTTGCTGAGTTGAGCATAACACCTTTCTCAGGGTAAAAGCACGTTCCACAAACGGTACCTGGTGGAGTTGTGGTGCTCACAGGTCGCCCCCTGTCTGTGGCAGTGTTTGCTGCTCTCCCCCAGCTATGTCTGCGTCACCAACAATGCAGCCACTTGTTCTGACAGCATGGAGGATGGTGGGCCCGAGCCCAGCTGTGTGGTTGCTGTTTCTTCAGAGGGAAGGTCAGCCGTGGTAGCTTTGGTGGCAGCTTCTGGAAACTCATCCCACTTCCTGCTTAAATCGGTCTTGAGTATTTTGGTGGAGTAAACAAGTTACTATACTGTTATTTGCTTTGGGCTTCTATTCTTATCATGCCCCTTGCTCTTTTAGATTATAGCAGTGGTTTGTAGAGCCAATGCTAATTTGTTACCTTTGAAAAAATTTGTTTCTAATTATTTGAGTAAAACATTTATCAAAGAACTTTTGAAAACCACAGAGGTGTGCAGGGAAGAAAATTAAAATCACCCATAACCTACACCCAGAGGCTTTTCACTCTTATTGCGTGGTTGAGGTCACACCGCATGAATTTGTTACGTGGGCATATTTACTCAAAATATGGGTAACTCTTCACAATCATAAGTTAACCCCCACCCCACATTTCCTTTCTTCTTATTCTTTTTCTTATATTCTCATTGTGAAATCTTTAAACCTTTAAATTTATCTATTTATTTAATAGATGAATTAAGTCTCCCCTTGTCCCTCCCCAGTCCCTGTCTGGTTTCCCTTCTGGAGGGAGCTGCAGCTAGTCCTGTTCATTGTGGGCTCTCCTGCCTTTTTAATGAGGTGAAAGTCATATAACATGAAATTAACTGACTATTTTAAAGTGTACAATCCACTGGTATTTCACAGTGTTGTGTAAGCACCACCTGAATTTTGCTTTCATGTTCCTACAGAAACATGGAGTGTGTTTTTGTCTTTACTTCAAATACATGGTTTTGCAATTTTTTTTCATTTTAAATGGTAATTGCGATGAACTTCATTCTTTTTGACGCCTGTCTAATATTGCATTTATGGTTGTATCGAAATTTGTTTAGTCAGTGTCTAGGTGGACATTCAGGCTTTCTTGTTTGTGCACTTTTAAAAGCAGTGTTTTCTTTGGGTATGTTTGTGTATGTGCACAAATCTTCGGGGTAGGCAGGCCAGAAGTAGCATAGGTCCATTAAACATCATTCATCCCGCCTGAGCCACGTAGTTTCTGATTCTGAAACCTTTTGAGGTTCAGGTTGAGTGCATTGTTGACAAAACGTGATTTTCTGGGCCACGTCAGAAAGGCTTTAAAAGCCTCCCATGTGTTTTCCCTGGGACATCGAACAGCGCTCACCAAAGCAAGGTGCTGATAGGACGCGTGCAGATGGACAGATTCAGTACTCCTGTGAGGGTTGGCACCTGTGTGAGAAACCTGTAGGGGCTGGAGACCTGGGAGACCCGGCTCTGCCAAAAGGCGCTCCTACGTGGGCCAGCGCTCCTCGGGCCTCCCTGGCCCCTGGGCTAACCGCACAGAAGGACCCAGGGAATTGGAATCTGAAAACACACACTTGTGTGTTTTTTCTCTTGCCTAAGGCAATGCTTGCGTCCCCCAGTAGAAGGTGTAAACTAACTTAGAAAAGATAGGTCTGAATGAATGAGTGAATGAGTGAATGAAAAGTCATACCTTTGAAACTTTGTCAGTTGTCTTGGTTGCTTTGAGCAGAATTTTGCTAATTGAATCAGCCTCAGTCTTTAGAGGAGTAAGGACGGAAACGTCTGCTGCTTCCGGGAGAGGGACAGGCCAACTTGGCTGACTTCGGGGTCGGACAGCTGTGACTGTCCAGCGGCTAAGGCTGAAGTGGGCGGCGTGACACGCTGCGGCTTGGCCTCTGAGCTGAGCAGCTGAAATGCTACTGACCGGCTTTAAGGAGGAGCAGCTCTGATGGAGCCCGTCCTCCTGAAGAAACCGCGATTAGCGACTAAATATACTTTAAAAAGTGTTCCGCCCAGCAGCTTCTAAATAAATACTTATCACTGCTGAGAAAAGAAGATTGTTTACAATTTCAGTTTAAATAGATTCTTCCAGTTGACTTCCCAAAAGACTGACCAGGATTGCCCTCTCCCTATGGCCACGTGAGGGTCCCCGTTCCATGTACTCTTGCTAAATAAGTGTTTATATTTTTGTTCTTTTAAAATGTTGCCGATTTGATGAATGAAAAATGGATTTTGGTGTCACTGATGGTCAGTGAGACAGATCCTGCATTACCTCTTCATGAATTTTTCTGTTTTTGTCCGACCTCTGTATAAAGTTCACGCTGCGGTGTAAAACAAGAAGAGTGTGAGTGGGGTAACACAGAGTTGGCCCTGACACTCGGGGGCTCCTGGCCCCAGGTTTACATTTGTTTTGGTTCAGGGCTCCAATTCACAGATAGCCCACTCCTTTATTCAGGCTATCTGGGGCGGGGAAAGCTTTGATTTTATTTCTTCTGAAATCACTCCAACTCAGACCTCTCCAGTCCCCACTGGCCTCACACATGTACCGTAAACTCAGGGAGCTGAGCCAGGGATGAGTGGACGGGCTGGATATTTGTGCTTTTGGGCACGTCGGCAAGCAGCCCCGTCTGCAGGCCGTCCCATGGAGTCACTGTGCAGGAACAAGCCTCATACTTCAGCTGCCACTCAGTGAAGAAACTTTTTTTTTAAAACATCTTTATTGGAGTATAATTGCTTTACAACGTTGTGTTAGTTCCTGCCGTATAACAAAGTGAATCAGTTATATGTATACATGTATCCCTATATCCCCTCCCTCTTGCATCTCCCTCCCTCCCACCCTCCCTATCCCACCCCTCTAGGTGGTCACAGAGCACCGAGCTGATCTCCCTGTGCTGTGCAGCTGCTTCCCACTAGCTATTTATTTTACACCTGGTAGTGTATACATGTCCATGCCACTCTCTCACTTCGTCCCAGCTTACCCTTCCCCCTCCCTGTGTCCTCAAGTCCATTATCTACATCTGCATCTTTATTCCTGTCCTGTCCTGCCCCTAGGTTCATGAGAACCTTTTTTTTTTAGATTCCATATATGTGTTAGGATATGGTATTTGTTTTTCTCTTTCTGACTTACTTTACTCTGTATGACAGGCTCTAGGTTCATACACCTCACTACAAATAACTCAGTTTCTAGAAACTCTTCTTTAAGAATAAAAACTTCTAGCCACTGTGATTTTCAGACTGTCACCCTGCACATTGTAGGTTATAGAGGTCGCACTGTCCTGGTGCTCCAGGTGCTGAGGAAAAGGAGCCTCAGGTGGCCATGTCAGGTGTCTCTCTGTACCCTGCGGCACGTGCTATAGCGGACGTCCTTGAAGGGGCTGCTTCTCGCTGACAGGCCTTCTCGAGGCTGGGAACACAGTGGGATGGCTGGGCCGGAGGTCAGGGAAGAGAAGTCGTTTGCCCGTTTCTAAAGATGGTAGCATGTGCGTAAACAGCATTGGGGTGAAGTGACCTCAGATTGGATGTTTTATGGAAGCCGGCCTGTGGGAGAGATGTGACGCTGCTGGCGCTCCAGGATGGGGCTGGTTTGCAACTCGGCCCGAGCGTGTGTCTCTGGTGTCCATGTAAAAAAGCGGGTTCCAGGGAATTCCCTGGCCATCCAGTGGTTAAGACTCCGCGCCTTCACTGCCTGGGCTTATTAGGTTGGGGAACTAAGACCCTGCAAGCCGCAAGGCACAGCCGAAAAAAAAGCGGGTTCCACTTTGCCCAAAGTGAGTAATCGGGCTCTGACATAGGGAGCGCGTGCTGCGGGAGGAGTAACTGTGTTCACGGTTTCTCACTAGGCCGCGCCGCTCGCTGCAGGGATAGCATCTTGTCGCTGGTCACGCGCACCTCGGCGTCCTTTCCTTCGTTCTTAGTTCAGCTCTTCCAAGTGGCTTTAATGAAGCTCAATTATGAATCAGAAAATTACAAATTGAAAAGTTATGAATCAAAAGATCGCGAATCAAAAAGCTGTGAGTCAAAAAGCCATGAATCAAAAGGTATTTAAATGCTTTCTTCCTCCTGTTTCCTCCAAATAGAGCTTTTCAAGGCGAAGAACACGCTCTTCTCCCCGCGCGGCGCTTCGCTCACGCCCTCTCCTCGCGTCGTCTGCGGCCTCTCTCTCTCGCAGCCTTGCTGTGCATCTCTCTCCCTGTTCTCTGTGCAGTTCTGGATGTTTCCTGGAAGTTGGTCAGGGTTTAACATTAAATAAAAAGTTAATACACTCATCTTTTTATTCTTACGACCATCTTTAAAGCAAAAAATTTATCTGACTGGCATTTAGAATGATGTTTCAAAAATGTTTGAAGCGGGCCCATCCCGTGTGGTGGTGGGGGCATGCCCAGGGCTGGCGGGACTTGATGACGTTTCCTGAGCGAGGCAGTTACCTCGCCCCCGGCCTGCACCCCACCTCCACCCCGACCCGGCCACTCTGCAGAGCCCCTGCCCCGGGCTCAGGCCCCTCTCGCCTGTGTTGCAGCTCATTCCAGTCACTGTGGGAGGATGAATGTGAGAGAGCCCCTCGGCGAGGACGGCCACCTCCGTGCAAACGGGGCGTCGCTGTGTAAGTATGGCTCGGCCGCACCTGTGCCATCCTTTTAGGCCGTCCTGGGGCCCCACTGGTTAGGGGCCCCACTCGCTGCCCCCTTCACACCAGGAGCCTACAGCCACCAGGGGGCACTGGCTGGGATTTTGGTTTTTCATAATTGAGTTTCCTAGTTTTTTCAAACTGCCGTTGCTGCGCACCGTTGAGATTGACAGGGTTTGCGTGTTCATCTGTCCAATTAACTGCTTGTCCCACCCCACAGGCGATGACTGTAAGGGGAGGAAGCACCTGGAAACACACACCACCACCCGCTCGCAGCCCTCATGGCCAGGAGGGCTGGCAGGGACCGTGGGGCTCGCCTTGTCCCATGCAGGTTGTCTCTTGCGCTTTTGTGTTTTGTTTCTGTCGTGTTTTCGCAAATGCTCCTTGTTCATTGTTTCTTTGTGTTTGGAATTCAGGTGTTCAGTAAAAACAGGAAAATAATAACTGTCTTAAAATATGGAGAATATTGCTCTTGAAAAGCTTCTTTGTAAGTGTATTTAGTATAAATTAAGCGTATGGAAAGTAACATATTTGAGGTGAAATGAATGGTTTAGAAGAAGCTGTGTCCTGCATGGGGTACAGTCGGCCCGCGCCTGGGAAGCGAGACGTGTCCTGAGCCTGTGCAGCCGGGGTGCTATGGAGAAATCCAGTTTGTACCTGTCAGTGTCTTGCCGAAGGGTGCCTTTATAGCAGCTTTTTTTAAAAGCTGAACTTCAAAATTTGTTGTCTCTTAACTGTTAATTAATAAACATAAAGCAATAGATTTTTTAAAAAACCGTTTCTTTGCACGTCAGCCGTGTTGGAATTGCTTAATGTTTTCAGGAGTCAACACGCAAATGCTGGTGTGGGTGTATTACTTCCAGCGGTCACTCTTTAAAAATGAAAGGAATTGATTTCATGAGCAGTTTTCTGCTTTATATAATATGTGACGTTCGGTATAAAGTTAATTGTGTTTTATTTTGTCATCCAGTGGGACTACCGGTTATAATTCCAAAATATTTTTTCACTGGGCTGTAGGAGGACTTTCATCTTGCTGTTTGCGTAACTCTTGTCTCACCCAGAGCATGTTAACTGCTGGTGTCCATGGAATCTTACTTGCTTTAAACGATTGTGCTGTCTTTCCAATACCCATTCTGCCAGCAGCAGCTGTGCACACGTGCAGGGTAGCTGCCAGCCAGCCCCCGCAGGTTTATAGGAAATGTCTACATTTTACGTCCTACATGTCGATAGGCAGAAGCGAGTGAAAACTGTTCAGACACAGAGCAGGGTTTTCATAAGTTAGTTTCAGCATCTTGCTTGGACTTCAAGTAGTCAATTGTTTTTCTTGAGGAGAGACTCTTGACTGTCTGATGGGAGAGGATTTTGGTACAGTGCCACAAGGTGGATGTCTCTTGCCATGTCGGGACTGTGGGGCTGGTGTTTGAAGGTGCCCCTCCCGCCCACATCTTCTCCGGCACAGGTCACTTCTCGGTGCAGGCGCTGCGCGAGGTCGGAGCCACGGGAGGGTTTGTGTCCAGGACGGTGTCAGCGGTGCTGTGGTTGGCAGTGGCCTGTCCAGGTGGTTATGTTGGCTTTCCATGTTAGCATTCGCTCCTAGGCTGTTGGCAGTTAAGCACCTGCAGTAAACTGTTCACCTAACCAAGTAAACATTGCATTTTCGGTTTACGTGCTTTGATCCTTGATGTAACGTGTTCCATCCTTTATTATTTAGAAATGCTAACATACTGTGCTTTTGGCTGCATGGCATTCATTGTTTCTCCAGTGTATTGGGTGTTGTTGTAAGTCTAGCTGCTTGGTTGTACTGTACTTGAGAACGCGTGGGTTTGGTGTTTATTCTTTTGTATCTTGTCTTGTGTGTGACTTATTGCTTTGTGGCTTATTTACGTTCCTGTGTTTGAGTTATGGATGCTCCTGCTGTGACGACTAAGCGTGGTCCTAATATACTTCATCCCTAACTTCCTTCATCTTAATATACTTTCGAAGCATTTGTTAGTATATTTCCTTATGCTGCTAGCTTGGCCTTCACAAAACCAGTCCATTAGGAGTTTGGTTTTCCTAAGAACGTTTCCTTAGGATGTTTGGTGTTTTCTCTTTTAGGGAAGGCAGCATCTGAAGTATTCTGGTGGCTTGGGATTGGATGGTACCAGTTTGTTACTTTGGTTTCTTGGCTGAATGTGTTTCTTCTTACAAGGTAAGGAAACTGATATCATGTCAGCTTGGTGTTTTAAAGAACTGATTTTGTGCTAATTGCATGGTATCATTTGATTTAATCATTTTATATTTTGCAAAGTGCTTTCATATTCTTAATTTTTCAAACCACTCCTGTGAGAAAGGAAAGGCAGGTGTCATCCTTGAAGAAAACCGGATGCGCAGCGTTTAAGTGACGCGTCCAGGATTACACATCTGGGAGGGTGTGCTCGGGACTGTAGGCCTGGACCCTCTGGTGCACTTGCCCCAGCACCAGGTTGCCTCAGTGGGTCGATGACCAAGGTCCTTAAGTGCCCTCCTGTGCACCAGCCCGGCGTGTTGGCAGTTACTGACCTGCTGGGTTGTTCACATGGGCCTGGGAGACAGCACCGTGTGGCCAGGTTTTCCTTCAGGCAGCCACTTACCTTGTAGATAAAACTAACTGCGTTTCTCAGCCTGTGACTTCCACTTTAAATTAGGGAGGGGGTATTTTGTATAAAATTATCTAGAGAGGTCATATAGAATGGTGAGCCCTGCCTTTTACTTTTTCCAAGTTAAATGTTTTGATTTTTTTTTTTTTTTTTTTTTTTCGGGACGCGGGCCTCTCACTGTTGTGGCCTCTTCCGTTGCGAAGCACAGGCTCCGGACGCACAGGCTCAGGGATCTTCCCGGCCCGGGGCACAAACCCGTGTCCCCTGCATCGGCGGGCAGACTCCCAACCACTGTGCCACCAGGGAAGCCCCTAATGTTTTTCTTTTTATTCCTTAGGTGCCTTCGAAATATTTGCAAGTTTTTAATCTTGCTCGTTCCAGTATTACTTTTACTAGGTAAGTAAAATTTTACTTTGTTACCTAAGATGACTAATATGTATACATGCATATATATGTAAATCAGTGAAAGAATTGAACATTTAAGTACACCTTTTGAAAAGCACTGTATGTACATGTGTACACAGTTGCTTTTTCTCTCCTTCAAGGCGCAGGTATTTCATTATGGGGCCAGGGTGATGTCCTTTCACTCCTGCCTGTGTTAAACTGGATGCACAGCCACAGAGCACAGAGGGTGGATGACCCCAGGACCACGCTCACACCCGACACTTTGCACCCAAACCAGCCTCTGCAGGTAATCATTTAGGATGTGCTCTTCCCTGGTGTTGCCAATCTGTGTTCTCCAGTGTAAGTTTCCATATTACTTGTAAACTACAAGGTAGTTCAGTTGGGCACTCTGTTTTAGAAAATATTTTAAAACGTCAAATAAGCACGTCTTACAGCTCCTTAAATGTTCCGAAACAATTCAAGTAATGCATACAGGCGCACCTCAGAGATACTGCGTGTTCAGCTCCAGTATCATACGAATTTTTTGGCTTCCTGGTGCATATAAAAGTTATCTTTACAGTGTACTATAGTCTGTTAAGTGTGCAATAGCATTATGTCTAAAAAAATAGTGTACAGACCTTTATTGACAATGCTTTATTGTTAAAAAATGCTAACCATCATCTGAGCCTTTAATGAGCTGTAATCTTTTTGCTGGTGGAGGGTTTGAAATATTTTGAGAATTACCAAAGTGTGACACAGAGACACAAAGCAAGCAGGTGCTGTTGGGGAGATGCGAGGACAGACTCACTGGACGCAGGGACCCCACAGACCTTCATTTGTGGACAATGCAGTATCTGCGAGGTGCAGTAGAGCGAGGTGTGCCTGTATTTCAAGCAGTCTCATTATTTAGTTCATTTTCATTAAAAAAAGAGAAAGTTTTCATTACTTTGGAAAATATAGAAAGCATAAAGAAGAAAATAAAAACCACCCATAGTCTGCCACGTAAAGGAAATCACTAATGACGAACATTTTCATGTCTTTTCCTTTGGGGGTGTGTGTGTGTTGTAGTTGACGTTTTCCTGTAATGCTCTGTTTCGTTGTTTCGACTTATCCTGTACTGTACTCTCCTTTGCCAGGTTGACCTTCTCATTTGTGTCACCTTTGGAACCTCTTAACTGTTTCAGGTTGGCGATGAGGTTTTCCACTGGCATCGGATGAGTGAAGTGGAAAGGCAGGTGGCTGCATTGTCGGGACAGTGTCACAGCCATGGCAAGAAGCTTGGAGAGTTGTCAACCTTGCTCCAGAAACTGCAGGCGCGGGTGGACCGGGCAGATGGCAGCAATGAGGGGGTGTGGCCCCCGGTGAGGAGCGTGGTGGGGGCAGCGTCTCAAGGGGGCTGGCACTGGTGGGCTGTCGGGCTCCCAGGTGATGCCACCTTGGAGTTCTCGGGTGTTGTGTTTTCCTTTTGGGGACAAGGAATAGGAGGGCCCTGCAGTGAGAGGTGGCCGCACGGATGGCAGGTGGGTTCCTGGCCTGCAGTGGCGGGGAGCTGCGGTAGGTGCCCCCGGAGGAGATGCCACGTCTGAGGCCAGGGTAGGGGGTGGGGTGCACCCTGGGAGCAGGCAGGGTTGGGGGAGGGGGTGGAGGCACGTGGGTGACGCCCAAGAGTGAGGTCAGGCTGCGGCGGGACAGACGGGTGTCCCTAGCCTGTGTTTTAATTGGTGAATGGATTGAACACAATTCGATGGAATTTTTCTGGCACTGAACTGAAAAGCTCAAATTTGTGATTTAAAATATCTCAAGATCATGAAATAGTTAAGTAGCTACTATTCCTTATTAAACCGTAGGCCTGTATATATGTGTCTCACTTATTTGGTTCTCAAGGAAAGGCTTGTCAGTCCATTTTCCTCAGCACTGATGTTTATTTTCTTAAGTTCCACGATGACTTAATTTAGGTATTTGGGATTGAAATCTTTAAAATAGGCATTGCCCCTTGCCTCCACAAGTGCTTTTCCCTGATCCTGTTTTCTCAGCAAAGAGCCCACTACCCACCCAACTGTTCGCACTCCGACCGGAGGGGACCCTCTAGCCCTGATCATGCATGTCTTGTCGGCCTGTGGACCCCTCAGGGCTCCCCGTGGCCCCACCGTGCTCTCGAGCAGCCTGGCTCTGCCTGGCTTCGCCGGAGCCTGCCTCGACTTGTCTCGGGGTGGGTGCCCCTTGCCGGCTGTTTCCTGACTGGGCTCAGTGTTCCCACCCTCCTGCTCTCCTGTCCCGGCATCAGCTTGCGCCCCTGTTTGTGGCTGCAGCTGGCTTAATCCACTGTGTTCTCACACCTGTTGGGGGCAGAATGTGTGAATCTTCTCGATTCCGGTCGGGTCCCTGTAACATGCTGACAGGCACTGGTTCCCAAAGTTACTAGGTGTGTTCCACCTTCTCTGCGTGGCCCCCGGGTGCTTGCTTGGGGTTCTCACATCCAAAGGCCACCTGGCGTCCTGCATTGATTCCTCACTAGTTGCTTATTTTTGGCTTCTCAGCCGTAGAACTGAGATGATTTCAGTGAGATCCAGTTAACACCGTTATGAGTGTTCTGTTCCTTATTTTAAAATGAGATTCGAGATGTGATGAGCTGAGTGCAGATTTAGCTCATCCTTCCCACGCTGTCCTCCACCACTTACCCCTATTCAGGTATGATTGTGATGGTGACCCTGGCAGATTGAAGCTTGGTTCTGCGGCTGCCACACACTGGTGGTCAGCGTGCTGACTACCTGTTATCCTTCCCTGAGCGGATGGCACAGGTTTATCCCACGTGTGTCTCCAGGAGAGTGGGCCGCCTGCTGCATGTGGCTGTGTGAGTTTAAAGTAACTAACACTTAGGGACTTCCCTGGCAGTCTGGTGGTTAGGGCTTGGCGCTCTCACTGCCGTGGCCCGGGTTCCACCCCTGGTCCGGGAACTGAGATCCCACAAGCCACGAGGCCTGGCCCCCCCCCCCCCCCCCCCCCCAAACTCCATTCTGTTCACCTAAGTGACAACAGCTGCCACTTAAAGAATGAAGGCTGCAGTTTCAAGATGCAAGAAAAGTGTTCTCTGTGATCGATTGACCCCCCCGCCACACACACACACAAAAATTAACACTAAGTAACATTCAGCTTCTCTTTCAGTTGCCCCAGCCACACATCAGGTGCTCCGGGGCACATGTGGCCGCCGTGCTGGGCAGAGGCCGTCCCGCTGTGCCCAGGGCCAGCGGGCTGTACAGTAGGAGACCCAGCCTGGCCGTGAGGACGTGCAGCCGAGTCCAGCGGCTGACCCTCCTGCATCCCAGTGCCCTGGGGTCATCCTCACAGCTGCCCTTCATCCCTTAGCTTTGCTTCACCTGATTTGTCATCTTATATTTTTGTAAGTCATTGTGGTTATATTTTGGAACAAGATGGGGTATAAAATCAGTGAGTGAAACTCCTGTAATAAGAGTATATAATGACTTCCTGTTTTTCTTTCTGACTGGATTTTAGTGGTTCACAGTGTGCAGGCGTTCTCTGCTGGTGGTGTTGTCTCCTGTGTGGATGTCCTTTGATTATATAACTGGCAGAGATTTTTCTAGACCTTCCCAGGGAGTGTATCTGATAAGCTTACTCCAGATTTACCTTCTAAGAACTGCTGAAGAGATGGGTGGGGATGTGCTGGACAAAGGCTGTTTTCAAAGTTACTCACGTTGAGAAAAAAACCTTATTCTCTCTCTGCCGCTGTGCTGATCACCTGTGTCCCTGAGCCAGGGGGGAACGTGCCTGTCGGCCGCCTGATCTGAGCTTTCTTCCCCTGATAGCACTGTTCTGAGGGCTCTAGCACCGGTTCTGATGACCATTGAGATGTCACACACTTTATACGAATATGAAAGATCAAGAGGGAGTGAGTGGGTCCTTGGTGGTTGTGGTGTAAGTCTCTGGGTACAGCGGGTGCCTGGGGAGTGTGTGTTGAATGAATGGTAATTGCTCTGCTGTCCACGCAGGTGTTTTTGATAATTACCAGTCTTCTTAAGGAATATTCTCCTGTGACTAGAAAAGCTGTCTGTGCCTTTTATCTTAGGGCGGGTTTCAGAGGCGGAGATGAGGACGTCACTGAGGTCACCCCCATGGGATGCTGCGCCCAGCTGTGACCACAGTCTCTGGCTGTTGCTGTGCTGTGTAGAAACAGTGTGGCCTGGCTGGCCACAGGTTCGGGCTTATTTGTTGCTTAACTTTCTCTACCATTTGTTCATTCATTTTCCTTTTCAAGACTGACTATGTGACTCTCCGCCAAGAACATGAGTTGCGAATCTCCAGCCTGGAAGATATTCTTGGAAAACTGACAGAAAGATCTGAGGTATTCATGCTCTTGACCTTTCACTTGCAGCCCCCGCACCGTGATTTCCTTGAGAAGCGTCAGCTGCAGTTACTGTGCTCACAGCCCCCAGCCTTTAAAGTGCTTCTTTTAGGGTGTTCGCTGCCATTCTTTATAAAACAAAAGGGAAATATTTCTTTTTTTGTTTAATTTAAAAAAATTTTTCTATTTATTTATTTTTATTTTTGGCTGCGTTGGGTCTTCGTTGCTGCGCGCGGGCTTTCTGTAGCTGCAGTGAGCAGGGGCTACTCTTCGTTGCGGTGCGCGCGCTTCTCACTGCGGTGGCTTCTCTTGCTGTGGAGCACGGGGTCTAGGTGTGCGGGCTCAGTAGTTGTGGCGCACGGGCTTCAGTAGTTGTGGCTCGCGGGCTCTAGAGCACAGGCTCAGCAGTTGTGGCGCATGGGCTTAGTTGCTCCGCAGCATGTGGGATCTTCCTGGACCAGGGCTCGAACCCATGTGCCCTGCATTGGCAGGCGGATTCTTAACCGCTGCGCCACCAGGGAAGCCCCCATTGTGTTGCTTTAATGTTTTGTAAGTGTGTCCAGCTCACTGGCTCCCAGGTGGGGGCGGTTCTCCTCGCTGTCACCCAGCCTCCACAGGGTGACAGTGTCTGTGGACAAGTGAAGGACCTTCTGACGGGATTTTCTGGTCAGAAAGCCTAGTCTTGTCAGGTGTCGGGCAGGCGGAGGGAGGAGACGGCACCTGTGTGGACATGGACGAGGACTGGGGGCGCCGAGTGGGTGGCCTGGACCCCCTGATGGGCCTCAGGGGAGACGCAGAGCCCTCGGGAGCTCAGGACTGGCTGCTGCGTTGCTGACAGTGTCAGAGGGGAGCAGTTCAGTCCATCCGTTGATGAGATGTTTCCAGGGTGCCTGAGGAGGAAGTGCGCCCCGTGAGGGAGCTGGCGTTGGTCCTGTCCGTGTCGCCCGCCTCTGTCGAGTTATGGCCTCCATGGCCGCTGGGCCTCGGCTCGCGTGGGGCGGTGGGCGCCCACACCTGTGAACGGGTCGTGTTAATAAGTCGTGCCTTCATGTGTGAGTCTGCCGTCCTCCTCCTTGTCCTGCCACACTGAAAGCACTTACCAGAGGTGGTGGTGGCGGCGGCGGCGTCTGGCTTCCTGCCCTGCGTCCTGGTTACAGGAGCTGCTTATTTTGAAAATCCATCAAGCTGCTTTTTTGTATGACCTGTGCACCTCTCTAAGTATATGTTGTGTGTCATCTTTTAAAAGTCTGCTTTGAAAAGTAAACATCCCTTACCTGCCTGCCAACAGGCAGGTCTGGGCTTTAAATTAAGGGGGAAAAAATCCTAGATAAATATGTGTATTTCTATTTCTGTTTATAGAGTCAAGTATATGATTTTAGGGAAAGTTGGTATGTAACTTGTGTATTTAAACGGATTGTTTCTCCTACATTTTAGGCCATCCAGAAGGAATTAGAACAGACTGCGCTAAGAACAGTCAGGTAGGATAATTCCAGATAAATTCCTCTCCTGTCTTCTGGGCTCCTCTCTGTCATGTGGGGCTGTGCCATCCTTAGCAAGGGGCACTGTTTGCACCTGGGATGACTGGGCTGTGTTGGTGGTAACAGTCCCAACTGTTGTCTTTCTGGGAGACCCTTCAGGGCACCTGAGGATGGAGGAGGGGTTGGGGAGCGGGGGCCCCCGGCTTTGCTCTGGGGAAAATCCCTGCCCGGATGTGCCGGGAGGGTCCTCAGGGCACAAGGAACGGGCCGTGAGTTCATGGCACAGCGTGGAGTGGGCTTCCTGCCTGGACCTCTGCTGGCTCTGCGGGCATCACAGTTCAACCCTGGTCTCCTGCTCGGCAGCCCCTCGAGGGGGCCAGACACGCGCCTTCTGAGCTGCAAGGCTCTCACCAAGGCTGGGCCTCCTCTGAGCCCTTTCTTTGTTGCTAAACAGCCCTGGTCCCTCAGCAGTTTCGGGGCGTGGCGTTTGGTCCCTCGTAGCCTCGTTGCTTTTCTTCCGCACATTTGTCAGCTTCCCTGAAGTCCCCTGGCTGCATGGAGCCTCTTCCTGTCTCAGAGCCGCTCTCTGTTTTCACACCCTTGGTTTTGTCACCTGGGTTCTCTCCACCCCATTATCTGAATAGGACACGGTTACCCTTTTGTTACTCCAGCCATTCCACTCACCGGCTCAACGCTCAACTCGGGAGAGAGCAGATGATGAGCTTTAACCTCTCGTCTTCCCGCTCTAGCTCCTGTGTGTTTCTGTGGGTCCTATCGTGTGATGTGAGACCTCACCCACCCTCCTCTCGGGATGGGTATGAATGTTAGCACACTTCTAACTTTCCTTTAGAGCCTTTACGTATCAAAACACCTTTTGACTGAAGTCATGTGGCTCCTGCAGTGTTTATCCCCGAGTGCACTCTTCTGAGATATGAGCTGTTGGTATCTCAACAACTATAACTACCTACAAACAACTATAAATATAATATCGTAATATTTCATAATGTACAATGCCTACATTAAAATAGAATTGTTAAAACCCTGAAGCCATATGTTTTTAGTTTTCTCTTCCAGTAGCATGAAAAATTCATATTTAATTTTATAGTGATTATCAGTAAACACTGTCACATCTCTGAAGTCTTTTTCAGAATTTTAAGGGGACAGGTTCAGGTTTAAATACTAAATAATGTATGAGAGTCCCCGCCAGCACCCAGAGAAGCATAACCGCTGCCCATGGCAGGTTTGGCCCCCGCCCGGGCAGGTGCGGACCTTGAGGTGGTAACAGTCTCCTGAGCCTTGGCTTGGAACTTGTATGCTGCTGAGGGACAGGGTGGTGTGTTCACAGCTGACCTGCCCGGGGAACACGGGCGTCTCTCCTGCACGTACTGTTGGCAGGACTGACCTGTCCTGTCGTCACCCCCGCCGCAGCAGAGCTGACGAGGAGCCGCGCCTCCTTGCCATGGCCCGGCGTCTGGAGCAGGAGCTGCGGCGTCTGAAAGCTGGCTTGTCTGGGCGGCAGCGGTCGGGAGCCAGCCGGGAGGAGGTGGACGCAGCGTCCGAAAGAGTAGGTGTCCTCAGCTTTACGCTTTGCTTTATCATGGAAGATAAAAACACTCGAGTTGATATCTTTATTAAGTTAATTTCAACTTTCTTTAAAAATTTTGTTTTATTGTATTTGAAGTTTTTAACCATCTTGAATAGAATAATTAAAAATTGAGCTCCCCTCGAATTCCCGCCTCTCCAGTGACACGAGATGTCTTTCCTTCCTTTACACACGCATGGCCAAGGGCTCACCTTTATTGGGGGTAGGGCCGGTTGTATCTTCTCACTAAAGTAGAGTCACGCTGCGGTTTCGTATCACATCCTCACGTCACGGACATTGCTTCAGGCCCCTGTATCCATGTGCAGAAGAAGAAATCTAGACATTTATAGCTACGTGAAAATGGAAACACGGACATTGGAGTGGCCATATGTCATCCTAAGTCAAAGGCGGACGGTTGTTGGGGAGGAGGTCTCGCAGGCCCAGGGTGACAGTTTGCGGTGCAGGGAGCTACTGAGGCCGACGGGGCAGCGCAGCAGAGATGCGGCCCAGCCCGGCAGGCAACCCATCTCCCTGAATGGGATTGCAGGTCACGTGAATGACTGCTCCTCAGTCCTCAGGATGGCGAGGTAGTGACAGTCTCCTCCGGGGCTGGCTCAGGACACAGGTGTCCTCATGGCTGGGGGACTGTGAATGCCTGCAGGCTTTTGGGGGGGAGATCTTGAGATGGTCATGGGTCACAGAGACACACAGTCTTTGAGATGAGCAGCCACGCTCTTGGGACTCTGGGTGCAGAGGTGAAAGCGCCAGCGCAGGGGCCACGGACGAGTGTGCAGTGTTGTGACAGTAGCACTGAGGTGGCCCAAGTGCCCGCGTCAGGGCAGCGGCTGAGCTGTACGGTGGAACATTCCAGAGCCTGCAAGTGAGGAGGTCGATGTGCTCGCTTTGTCACAATGCTGTGCTTTTCCTGGTGCTTCTGCCCCGTCTTCCGCTCTCTGTGGGGCGAGGAGAGGAGCTTATACACATAATGGTGTGTGTGTAGAAATAATGCACTTGGACGCTTCCAGCCTGTGTAAAGTTACATTTTCAGTTGTGTGTGTGACTGTTTCCTTCTCAGACTGAGTTTGAAGACAAGGGGCCCTGTCATCTGCACCTCACCTGGGGCAGGGCCCCTCTCCTGCTGCCCCGTGGGCACCCAGGGCCCCTAGGCTGTGCTCTCCTCTATCCCTGTTCCCCTGAATGTATTTCAGCCTCTTTGGACGGTTCTTAAGTTTCGTATGAAGGGAAAAAAACGTGTCAAGTTTGCATTATGGATTTTGAACTGCTGTGTGATCTTTCCAGGGTATCTAAGGTGACAGAGTGAAGAGTTGAAATGATTTCGCTAAAACAGTAGATTCATGTTATATTCACTAATGATTTTACTAGGTGGACGCCCAAGTTAGAGAAACTCTCAGACTCATGTTCTCCGGAGATCAGCACGAATCTTCTCTCGAGTGGCTGCTCCAGAAACTGTCTGCTCAATTTGTAAATAAGGATAACTTGCAGATTTTATTACGAGATTTAGAGCTGCAGATACTGAAGAACATTACCCACCACATTTCTGTGACAAAACAGATGCCAACTTCTGAAACTGTAGTATCTGCTGTGAATGGAGCGGGCATTTCTGGAATAACAGAAGCGGTAAGTAGACAATGAGAATTGTTTAAAATTCACATGGTAGTGAAACTGATCATCTAGGTATTAAGCTAGCAGATTTTTAAATTTATTTATTTATTATGTATGTATGTATTTAGCTAGCTAGCTGCACCTGGTCTTAGTTGCAGCACGTGGGATCTTTAGTTGCGGCACGTGGGATCTAGTTCCCTGACCAGGGATCAAACCCAGGCCCCCTGCATTGGGACCGTGGAGTCTTCTCCACTGGACCACCAGGGAAGTCCCAAGCTAGCAGATTTTGATGTTTTGTTCTACGAATGGTCTTCTAGGATGTGATTATGATATAAAAAGTGCTTAGCTCCACGCAGGGTGCTGGGAATGGTAAGCTTCGGTGTTACTGTTATCACACTGCTTCTTAGGAGTACTTTATACTTTATTAATCTTTTTGTCCCAAAGACTTGGTCTCCCTGGGTGGCCACATACCTTCTGGAATTACACAAAAATTTCCCATGATACAGTCCCAAGTTACCATCTCTAACGCTAGTCCTTGCTTTGTCCACTTTTTATGGCACTGGGGGTTCCGGCTCTGAGACTTTCTTGCCTGTGTCTGAGCCGGGGTCCCCGCAGTTGAGAGCAGGACTGAAGTTTGGGATTGCTGAGACAGCCCCCGTGCCCACTGTCCCCAAATAGAGTTAACTGAAAACATGTCCTTAATTTCTGGGGTCGTCTCCGTGTGTGCCTCCACTGCCCAGCAAGCACGTGCCATCGTGAACAGCGCCCTGAGGCTGTACTCCCAGGACAAGACTGGCATGGTGGACTTCGCCCTGGAGTCCGGGGGTGAGTGCCAGACCCCTGACCCAAAAGTGCTACTATCAGCGGGAGGCCACTCAAGAGGCTGTTACCTGCCCTACGCCCAACAGTAGGGAGCTTGTTAGAACTTTCAAAGATCTGAGAAAGAGCATTATTCTAGGTGAGCCCCTCGTGTTCTGCCTCAGAGCACAGCCCGGTTCCCCCAGGAGCTCTGGTGGCTGTGCTTGCAGCTCACGCGTCAGCTGTGGGTGTGAGCCTGTGAGATGACGTACATCAGCAAAATCTCAGTTTGGGGGCCTTTCAGTAGCTTTTGGGTTTTTCTGGCCATAGGAGAGTTTACCACCACAGAAATTATTGATTATTCACTTATGATCTTGTGTGTTGTAAAGTGTGTGGGTTTTTTTAAGTATAGAAGTCCAGTAAAAAGAAACTGACCCTAGAGCAGCATGGGTCAAGCTGAATGAATAGAGGGAAGGATGGGGGTGCTATTCTGGTTTCTCGAGGAAGTGGTCCGTTGAGTCTGGAAGTGCTGCGTGGACATGGCACAGGCCCTGGACCAGGTGTATTGGATAAACCAGACTTGGTTTAGTGAAGCATCGTGTCCGTGGACTTCTGTCACCATCCCTTGGTGGCGTCCAGGGCAGCACACCCGGATCACACATGGGAACACGTCTGTGAAAACGGGAATGACGTTATATCAGTGCAGGGAGCATTTTGCCACCATATGTGTTAGAGGAAATCTTGGTTTTCTAAATTTTTAAAACTTAGGAATTGCAGATGAGGGCTGGGTGACTAATACGGTCTCTTGGAGGAAAGGAGGTTCTTGATAACACTTCAGTAATAAAGGGTGAGGGCCTGTGGGAGGGGTGGGGACATCAACCCACAGTGAGTGTCAGTCACCTGCCCCAGCCGTTCAGGGCACCAGGCGATGGGGCTCAGAGCAGCCTGGCGGGGAGCTGCGGCCCGTCCCCATTGCTCACCTTCTCACGGGGGCTGAACAGACAGTGCAGGAGGCTGCTGCTCCCGGCGGACACCACTAGGTTCTTCCAGCGTCAGAAGTTAGTAAGGCTGCTAACTGCTCTTCGTATATATTTTGTTTAGAATGACTGTTTTAGAATATTAAGTGATTTTAGTTTTGTGTTTTGAAATTCAGTGATTTCTGAAGAAATCATTTTCACAATTCAGAAATGACGATTTAACAGTTCAGTGGGACCAGTAGTTGTCATTTTTTCTTAGAGGCATAATGAGTCCTCACAGGTTGGTATGTTATTAATTCAGAATTCTGATAATCCTGACAAGGCTGAACTGAACGTTCTGTTACTGAACAAAACATATATTGGCTCTTTTTAAGTGAAAAAAGTGAGTCACTGTATTTAAGAAGACACTTTTTTAGAATGAGAATAAGATATTTTAAAAAGAATTCAGTGGTTCAGAAGTTTGGACCTGCTGGTCAGCTATGTCAAAATCACATTGTTTTCTTGTTTAAAATTCCATCCCATCCAATCCCCTCCCCCGTTATCAGGTGAGAAGCTCTAAAAGGGGCCTGCGGCTGCATTTGCAGGTGTTCTGAGGGGTTGTGATGTGCAGCCAGGTTAGGGACTGTTGACTTTTAGAATACAGACTGCTCAGGAGTTTTTAGTTTTATTACTCACTTATTTGTTTTTCTTTTTAATTTATTTTAGTTGATGTTTCTTCCCACACCAAGTTTATTCGGCCTGCTTTGGCACCAACATCCTGTCTGTCCTATTTCCTGTTGAGGGGCAAAGTGGACTTTTTTTTTTTAACACTCTTTTTATTATTATTATTGAGGTATAATTCACATAACAGACTTCACCATTTTCAAGTGTACAGTTTCATGGCTTTTAGTATATTTATTATGTTGTACAACAGTCACCACTATCTAATTCCAGGACATTTTTTAAAAAAATTTATTTTTTGGCTGCATTGAGTCTTCGTTGCTGCGCGTGGGCTTTCTCTAGTTGTGGCGAGCAGGGGCTACTCTTTGTCGCGGTGCGCGGGCTTCTCATTGCGGTGGCTTCTCTTGTTGTGGAGCACGGGCTCTAGGCGCGCAGGCTTCAGTAGTTGTGGCACACGGGCTCAGTAGCTGTGGCTCACGGGCTCTAGAGCGCAGGCTCAGCAGTTGTGGTGCTCGGGCTTAGTTGCTCCGCGGCATGTGGGATCTTCCCGGACCAGGGCTTGAACCCGTGTCCCCTGCACTGGCAGGCAGATTCTTAACCACTGTGCCACCAAAGAAGCCCCGGGACATTTCTGTTTATTTCCAAATAGAAACCCTGTCCTTGTTAGCAACTTCCTATTACCCCAGCAATTGGTAATTGTCATAATATTTTATCACTTTGGCCTATTAAGTAGGTCCTCTGAAAACCTGACAGGTAACACTGGCGCCTGGTTGAATTCATTATTCTTTATTTTAAAACGTGAACAAAAGTTCACTCAGAGTCGCTGTCCCTATAGTGGCAGGCGGGGAGCCCAGTATTTTAAGAGTCTTTGGTGGGCGGTAGGGACTGTGTGTCCTAAAGCAGTTGTGAACTGTTGACACTGAATTTGGAAAAAGTAAAATTAAGAATGGAGTTGATCTTCATGTAGACGATTGTTTATATGAGTTAGAAACGGGAGAATTTTTAGAACATTTCAGATAAATCTCTACAGGTGGGTAGTGATATTGTTTCCGAAACAGTAGGATAAGATGCTGAGACACATTTCAACTCTGCTGTAGGTGGGAGCATCTTGAGTACCCGCTGCTCTGAGACGTATGAGACCAAGACCGCCCTCATCAGCCTGTTCGGCGTCCCGCTCTGGTACTTCTCCCAGTCCCCACGCGTGGCCATCCAGGTGAGCAGGTGTCCGGATTGTCCTGTGCGGGTCGAGGCCTCCAGCACAGTCATGGTGCCGGCTGAGCCCGTTTTAGGGGTGTGCTCGTTTACCTTCTTGTTGAGGTGTAAGCTGGAGCATGCGGACCCTCAGTCTACAGCTCAGGGGATCTGCATCAAGCGGACACGTCTGTGGACCCAGGAGCACAGTCCCAGCGCCTCTAGGTCCCCTATTGCCCCCTCTCACCTCACAGGTGACTTCTGATGCCATCTGTTGGTTCTGCTTGTGTTTGACTGGTGCAGGCGAGGCTGCCTATCCTGTCCTGTGTCTGACTTCACCCATTTCTCGGGGGTGTCGCTCTCCGTCAGAGCTGGAGGGCCTCTTCCACGAGGAGGTTGTGTGTTGCGTTTCCTCGGTGTTTCAGGAGGTGGAACGGGTGGAGACGCGCAGGTGGCGTCAGGAGGAGCCCCTCTCCCTCTACACGTCACACCCACGGCTGCTCAGGGGACTGTAGGGCCCTGTCCTCCGGTGCCTTCTGCAGAGGCGCTGGGCGCCCTGCTGCTGCAGGGCCTCCCTTCACCGCCCGGGCTGTGCCCACGCAGGACTCAGGGCCAGAGAGCTGCGGCGCTCAGAGACGTCCACCGGACCTCGGCACTAACGTTAATGACAGTTTTTGAAGGAAGTTTCAGTAACTCCCTCTGTGTGAACCATGCACACAGTAGCCATCTCTCACTTAAAAAGCACAAATCCGATCTCAGAGTCGGGAGTTGACTTGAGCATCCAGTCAGGGCCAGTGAACCTCACGTTTTGGGTCCTCCAGTCCCGTCCTAGTGGCCATCTTGTCCTTGGGGGCTGCCCGGCTTGGCTTTTGTCGTCTGAGCTGCTTGGACTGACCCTGCTGCCCTTGGCCCCAAGCTGCAGGGCTGTCCCAGAGGTCGAAGGGCTCCAGAGGTCTCGACGTTCCGCAGCAGGTCCACAGCCTTGTCCCTGGGCTGCAGGTTGGGTCTGGAGCTTAGGTAGCGGCCAGTACCTAGGTGCTGGGTGGATGTGAAGGGGCAAGTGGAGGCGGGCCTGCTGGGAACATCCTCTCGGGAGAACCGCACGGCGCCCTGGACGGGAGAGTTGAGACTGAGGGACTGAGTCATAGGTGAGGGGCTGCTCACGGGAAGCCAGAGTCTGCAGAGGACCCAGGACTGGCCCCTCTGCTGCGGCTCAGATCAGGCCTGTTGGAGAGGGCGCAGCCTGGCTCACCCCAGAGGAGCCCGGCAGCCTCTGCGGGCGGGAGGGCTGTGCCAGGGGCCCGAGCCCCTCACGCAGGTGGGCAGCGGCGTGTTTGGAGGGGCAGGAGACGCACGCATGGCATCGGGGTGAACGGGGAGTGGGGGCCCACATCGTCCTGGCCTCCGAAGACACGCGGCTCTGCCGACTTGACCAAGCCCTGGCGTGGGCTTGTGGCTCCTCTGTTGCTGTTAAAAGTGCTGTCACGATGAGTGTGCGCCGCCTCTGCATCTTGTGCCTGTGCCCGCGCGCTCGGCTGGAGGTGGCTCTCCAGCAGTCAGAGGGTAGCCGCATGCGCCGATGCTTGGTCTTGCCCGGCGCTGCTTTCCCTCGGCGATGGTGTCGGTGTGCAGGAGCGCGCGTCCTCACAGCGTGCACGGCACGTTTTGTTCGGTGCAGGGTTGTTGGCAATCTGTGAGATGAGACATGGTGGCACCACGTCATTTAAATTCGTAATTTCTTGTTTTCTGTAGGGCGGTGCATCTTTTCCTGTCTGAGGACCGCCGAGAGTTGTGTTTCTCTGAGATGTGTGCCGCCCTTTCTCTTTAAGGTTCTGGCTGACTCAGCACTCGCCTCACAGTGCACACAGTGGCCCTTTGGGATTAAGTCACAGATGCCTTGCCTCACTTTGTCTTTTGATTTTGCTCACGACCATTTCTTACCAGCCAAAATTCCACTTTTCCCCCCCAATGTTAGCCAGTTTTTTCTCTTACTGCTCCTGTTTTTCGAGTGGTTAAGAGCTTGTTCAGCTATTGAGTTTTAGTGTTTGCCTTTTCCCCAGCCTGACATCTATCCAGGGAACTGCTGGGCGTTCAAAGGCTCCCAGGGGTACCTCGTGGTGAGGCTGTCGATGAAGATCCACCCGACCACCTTCACCCTAGAGCACATACCAAGGACCCTGTCACCCACGGGGAACATCACCAGCGCCCCCAAGGACTTCGCGGTCTACGTGAGTGCACCCCGTCCCAGGGCGGCCCTCCTCACCCCGTCTGGGAATCTCCTGGAGATGAGCCCTGCAAACGCTGGGGACTTGAGTATATTACCGGTGTTGCTGTCCCCCCCTCTGCCCACTGACCTCTGAGTAGCCACTAAATGTGGAGGGAGACGTTCCAGGGCTTCCCCAGGGAGGGAGGCTTGGGGCGCAGGGCGACGACAACAGCCCAGCTGTGGGAGGACTGGCCTCTCATCTGCTCGGCCGTAAAGTCTGTTCTGACAACACCGTGAGGCTGAATGTACAGAACAGAATGAGGACGTTGGGAAGAGGACATCCAGAATCCCAGCACCTACAGAAGTCACCATTAACACTGGTGTTTTCCCTTAAAAAGTGCAGTTGAGGGACTTCCCTGGCAGTCCAGTGGTTAAGACTCCACGCTTCCACTGCAGGGGCCATGGGTTCAGTCCCTGGTTGGGGAGCTAAGATCTCATGTGCCGAAAAATAAGTACAGTTGAGACAATACCATTCATAAAATTTCACTTCCTGCCTTAAAGAAACAAACTGACCGTTACGTATTTGTCCATGGCATTGAGCTTTACTGTATCAGTTTCAGGTATACAGACAGCAGCAGCATCTGAAATCTGAACATATTAGAGCGTCACCACCCGTCACCCACGCTGGCCCTGGCCCTCTCACCCACAGGGTGTGAAGTGAGATCTTCACATGCTTCTTTAAAGAGCAGCACAGAGTGCCCTTGTCCACGTCCCCAGTTTGCTGTTGTTGACTGTTTCCACTCCCCACGTTTCAGGATAAGCCTCTTCACTTTTTGGTGATCCTTCAGGCTAGACACTCAGGTGGCGTTATGTTTCAGGGGTTCAAAGGGGGCCTTGGATTCATCACACCATACGCATTGTTAGTATGAGAAGTGTTCCTTATCTTGTAGTTCCCTTTCTAATTGAATCCTCTTTTTTCTAAATCTCTGCTAATTCCATAGATCTTACTTTAATCTACATTTCTATGTATTTCACATGCATGTTTCCTTTTTTGTAGATTCTGGTTTTATTTCTATTCATTTATCTTTCGGTATCTTAGTTTCCTTATGAATATTCGAGCTTTTTAATATAAAAATATTAATCATAGGGCTTCCCTGGTGGCGCAGTGGTTGAGAGTCCGCCTGCCGATGCAGGGGACACGGGGTCATGCCCCGGTCTGGGAAGATCCCACATGCCGCGGAGCAGCTGGGCCCGCGAGCCATGGCCGCTGAGCCTGTGCATCCGGAGCCTGTGCTCCGCAGAGGGAGAGGCCACAACAGTGAGAGGCCCGCATACTGCAAAAAAAAAAAAAAAAAAAAAAAATTAATCATGTGTTATTCTGTTACAGATATACTTCCCACTGTCAGTCTTAATTTTGTGTTTAGTTACACCTGCTCATTACCTGTAATTTCTTCCATGGCAGTTTTGTACCTAGAAAGTCCTTTCCCTTTATGAAACAGACATTAAAATTAGTCACCTGCACTTCCTACTTGGTTACTTTTTTATTGTGGGAAAATACACAGAACATAAAACTTACCATCTTAACCGTTTTTAAGTGTGCATGCAGTTCAGGGGCATCAAGTACATTCATACTGTTGTACAGCCATCACCACTGTCATCTCCAGAATGCTTGTCATCTTCCCAAACTGAGGCTCTGTCCCTGTTAAACACTGTCTCCTGTCCCCCAGCCCCCGCCGGCGCCTGTCCTCCTCTTCTTGGCTGTGTGAGTTGACCTCCTTGGGGCTCCACACTCTGCTGACCTGCCCTCCTTTCCCCAGGCTCATCACATGCCCCTGGGTTTCCACTTGGGAGCATGGAGGGCTACAGTGGGCCACGTGGGTGTCGAGTGTGTTCTGCTACCTGTTAGCTTGCCCTCTCCCAGCTTCAGTTTTCCTGATCTGTATAACGGGAGGAATAATGCCTACCTCACGGGCTTTGTGATCTGCGAGAAGCCCTTAATAAAATGCCCAGTACACGGAGGACCTTACTTTAATGGAACAGTAATTTCCCTCTCCCAGTTACCTCACGAACCGTTTTTCCTTTATTTAGTGACTAGATGGTTTTGTTTCAGGGATTAGAAAATGAGTATCAAGAAGAAGGGCAGCTCCTGGGACAGTTTACCTACGATCAAGAAGGGGAGTCACTACAGATGTTCCCTGCCCCGGTAAGGATCCTTGCGCTTCACACAGGCTTCAGGCTCCCAGGTCTCCTCACTGCTGCCTGCGTCCACAGGACCTGCCAACACTCACAAAAATGCCCACAGGGTGTGAGGGCCAACTTCTGAGAAAGTGGATCTGAGCTTCCTAGCTTTTCTGTTCCTGAATGAGCCTTTTTAGTATATAATTTGTTCTGCATAAATGTGTCAAGGGTGATGAGTTCTCAAGAGTTTCACCTGAACTTTGTGTCCTGTGATAGATGATATAGTTCACGTTAAAAGCTTAATCTCCAACTTGGCTGTTTAATCTCAAATCTCTTACCTGGGGAAGTGATTGGGCTTGGTGGTAGTAATATGAAATAAGTGTGTTTTGTTTTTGTTTTTTTTTCCCCTCCTCAATTGCAGAGAAGACCAGAAAGAGCTTTCCAAATAGTGGAACTTCGGATTTTTTCTAACTGGGGCCATCCCGAATACACGTGTCTTTACCGGTTCAGAGTTCATGGAGAGCCTATCAAGTAAAGAGACTACTCACTGTTCTTGTACATTTTGTATATACTGGGACAGCCTGGAACACTGGAATCCTTCATGGACACGGGCATACAGAGAGCAGTATAATGTCACCCTTGAAATAAACGCACTGACTGCCAGCAGGACGACTGCCAGCAGGACGACTGCCAGCAGGACGACTGCCAGCAGGACTTGGGTGTGGAAGCGATAAATGCTGACACCCAGCTTGCTGTTCTGTCCACAGGAAACACTGCATGTTGACTGCTTGGGCTCAGAGACCCGCTAGCTACAGGTGGTCTCTGTGGAGATTCATTTGAATGTATAGTTAGTTCACAAAGATACTTACTTTTGGCCTCTGGGGGATTTGTTTTTGAACATAAAACTCTTTGTATTTGCTTGACATCAGGAACAAAGCAAAGGAAGTTAAAAGGTTTGGAGTGTTCTTGAAGCCTTGACAGCGGCCTTCACTGGCCCTTTTAAAAAGGACCTTTTGGGGCAGATATGTGTTCAACCCAGCACACGTTTCTTTCAGGGAAGAACAGTGTCACCAAAGTTCAGAGTTCTGAACTCCCTTTCTTTAGGCTGAGATTCTCCTCTGTTCAGCACCAGTAGTTCTTTCAAGTCACCAGGTGGGGAAGTAATGAAAACGGGTTCTCCTGCCTAGTTTGCTCCCACTTCTGAGAACGATTTTCCGTCAGGTCTTGGCGTGTGAACATCCGTTCAGGAACCCTGGAGAGGTTCCCTTTGCAGGTTGCAGTGGGTCTGCTTCGAAAGGGGATGGTCTGGATCTACACAAACATGTAAATAGAGTTCTCAGGTCTCCACTGGGCTCATCCCATCAGATTTTCCCTGCAGTTTTACTTCACACTATGAATAGGAACCAAGAAATCCAATCTTTTGGATACGTTCAGGTTTTGTTTTGAATTTTTCTGGAAAAGCAAACACTAACATGCTCTGAGTCTTTCAGAGGCTTATGCTTTTATTCCACTGATGGTTATTAAAGGAGATTGTCCAGTGTGGCAAATTCATGAAACCAGGACATTTGGTGATTAGGTTTTCTTACAGCAGCACTTTGTACTGGCTCTGGTTGGGATTTGCCTTTTATTACAGCTGTTGGCCATTCTCTCTCAATTCCTGTGAGACTTGCTTTGGTTATAATTAGTATTTAATATTTAGACTCTTTTACTGAGCAGACTTTATAAATGAGATATCTGCAAGGCACTTAAGGTGTTACAGATGTTTTACCTTAAAAATTATTTAAGTTTTATTGGGTTAAGACAGTCTTTTGGTGTACCATAAATGTTGTATTTTCAGAAAAAGATAAAATGATGGTGCTGACTGGTTTTCTGAAGAGTTTTATGTATATTGCACAACAGTCCTCAGATATACAAAAACTACATAAACTAGCATTTTTTTCACTCTTGTTAGAATTGAAACTAATGCCTATGCAGTTAAGTTGGGTAAAACGTATACAGATGTTTCATATATTGCAGGATACATATATAGATCAAAATTTCCTATATAAAACTAAATTTGGGAGATGGGGTGGAAATATTTTGAATATTAATTTATTTTTAAAGATGAGAGATAGGACTTTGTGCAATGTATTTTTGTAAATGCTTTTCAAAATATCTGTCATTGGTAGAGCTTCTTTCGCTGCCACCAAATTGGTAAGATGCTATCGAAACGTTTAAATAAAGAGCTTTAATTTTTAAAAAACTGCATGTGATATTTCAGATGAACAATAAACAGTGTGTTTCTTTTCTGTACCTGCTTTGTCTCTGCCCCGGGCGGGGAGGGGAGGGGAACACAACGCGTGGAGCGGCCCCTCCCAGGACCACTCTGGGCTGGGAGCGCGTCCGGCCCGCCGGACTCGGAGCCGCGTGCGTCCCCGCCGTGCGCGCCCCGCTCGCGGGCGTGTCTCCGCGCTTCCACACGGACCACTTACGAGAGAAGAGCGGCGTGTTTGGGTCTCGGACGTCGGGGCGAGCGCTGATCCCGAGCGCCCGAGTGGGAAAGCTGACCCGGGACCCCGAGCCGCCGGCATACCCGGAAAGTATTTATTGGAAAGTCTAAATACCTCAGCGGCCTCAGTTACAGCAAGGACCACCCTCCCCGCCCCGAGCTGCATTTTCCCAGCCGCCTGCCCGCCATTGTAGTGCCAGCTCCGCCCCGCGGGGTCACGTGCCGCCCTCAGCCGCGCCCCCGCGGTCGTCGTCCGCAGGCCGCGCCGTCACTCTCCGGAGCCCCGCCCTATGATCGTGTGCCCGCCCTCCCCGGGCTGCGCAGGCACGCCCCTCGGTCACGTGGCCGCCCGCGCACCGCCCGCGGCTCCTCGTGAGCCACCGTAGAGGGCTTTGGGCGGCCGCCGGGACGGAAGCCGCGAGTCTGGTTGGGAGCCGGAACCTTGCATTTTCGGGGCTTCCCTTGAGTTTTGCGCTTTATATTCTCACAGAAACTTGAGCGAGGCAATTTTGGGGAAAGAAGCCTTTTTCTGAGCGGTCTGAGGTGGGGAATCAGAGCGATTCCCAGCCTCAGAGAAAGGGGAGCCGATTTTTCAGATTCGGGCTCGTTTCTGGCGCGAGACAGCGAAGGCCCAGAGGGCGGCGGCGGCGGCGGCGGCGGCGGCGGCGATGGCCGAGCAGGAGAGCGCCCGGAACGGCGCCCGCAACCGCGGCGGCGTCCAGCGCGTGGAGGGCAAGCTGCGGGCCAGCGTCGAGAAGGGCGACTATTATGAGGCGCACCAGATGTACCGGACCCTCTTCTTCAGGTAGCCACTGCGCCGCGGCCGCCGCCTTCCAGGGCTTTCCGCCCGGCCGCCGAGTCCGGTGCCCCGCCCTCGGCCGCCTCCCATTGGCCGCGCCGCGCCGCCCCGCGCCACCATTGGCCCGTGCCGCTGCCCGTCGCCTGGGCGGTGGGAGCAGGGGCCGTGCGGCGTCCGGGGGAGGGCTGCGGCCGGGGAGCGAGACCCGGGGCCCCGACCCAGAACCGTGACCGAGACCCCAGACTCCGCCCAGACTCTGGACTCAGACGCAGACTGAGACCCCAGACCCAGTCCCGGACTCTGGAAGCCGACGCAGACCGAGACCCCAGACCCGGCCCAGATTCTGGACTCCGGCCCAAACCCCTGGCCGAGCCCCAGACCCAACGCAGACCCCTGATCAAGAACCCAGACCTGGCCCAGACTCCGGATCCAGCCCCAGACCCCTGACCCGCCCCAGACTCCGGACCCAGACCCAAAGCCCTGGCCGAGACCCCCGACTCCGGACCTAGACCCGAACCCCAGACGCAGACTCCGGACCCCAGTCCCCGGCCCAGACCACCCTCACCCTCACCCTCCCCCGCCCCGCCCGGAGCGCCTTTGGGTTTGAAGCCCCAGCTCCGAGTTCCACGGTTTTCCTGCCTCTGGGAGTCGCGTCGCGAGGCTGTAAACGTCTTTCTCCTCTTGTGTAGCCCATGCTCACCCGAGTGTCTTGTTACTAAACCAGCTGTTCCCATAAAGCCGGTATTTTTGTTGTACCTGCGCTGCCTGGCCACGTGCGGCAGTTGAGCTTCTGAAATGTGAGTCCCTAGCGGCCTGGGCGGTGAGCGTAAAAACACGGCCTTCAAAGACTTAGCGCAGAGAAAATGTCAGGTATTAGGAACCTTCAACTCTTGATCGCACGTTGAAGCGATGCTTGAATATATTGGATTAAATAAAATGTCTTTTTTTAGTGTGGCCTTAGGAATTTAGGTTTTCTTAAACCTAGCTCAGTTTTCTTTTGGACTGCAGTGTGTCACACCGTTTCTGCTGTCATGCAGCTACTGCTGTAGTTTTTTAGTTCTTACATGTGTAAGGCATTCCT